AATAGAGGAAAAAAAACACGTTCTGTGCGCGATCCGCTTCGGGAACATCCGAAACGAACGACGAGAAAGAAACGACGTCACTGCGCTACGCTACGACGACTTGCATCTGTCTCTAGACTAGAAAGAAACGTGCCACTCAGTGACACGCTGGATTTGCAGGGGGAGCAGCGTTCTTCGAAGACAGGAAAGGTAAAATAATCGTGTCGCGCTGGATACAACCTTCCGAGGCCTCGTTTGTGATTCTAGATTGCACGTCACAGCAATGCTCGCTTAAATTCGACAATTTCGAACCCCAGTAGTGAAATTTAACCGAGCAGAAAGAACAGGGAGCTACTTGCCTCCAAGAATTGACTCGAGCACAGCCTGACAAAAGCAGAGAATCGATGCAGCGAGTGGAAGCCGGAAGTTCACTGAAAATCAAGGGTTGAAACTGGATTTCAAAGGGATGCCGCACGCGTCGAAGTTCTTCACATTAAAACTATTGCATTTTCTTCATTGCGTGTTTATGTTTGACGCGTGCGGCATCTCTGTGGCCAGTGTCTCTCTCTTCCTCTCGCTGTACACATTTTCTGTTTTCGTCCACTGGGATTACACTGAGCTTGCTCGAATCAAGTCGAGCGGATTTCTATGGAATTTAAGCCAGCGTCACTGTGTTCTGTACAAACGGGGAGGGCAAATTAAGAGGAAGATGAAGGGGAAGAAGACGAGGACTCGGTCGTGTTAGTACGATCGTCCTCTCGCGCGAGGGGAGCAAGAAAGACGCGAATTTTCGGGTTTCTGTCGTGCGAGGCTAAGGTTTTCGCGCTTGACTCGACTTGGTCCGATGATCGGGACAGAGGTTCGCCTGCCGAATCGCCCGGTCGAGCTCGAGACTCTGATCATCAAACCATGAACACTTCGACGAACGGACTACACTCCGCTTGCGGCGGCGCGGGGACAGGTACGCGTTTCTCCAGTTCCATTCGTGGCAGGAACGCCTCGATGCGAGCCTCCGCCGTTGGGGTGGTTGCTCCGGGCACTGTCGCGCCTGGTCCCAGCTGAAGACACTCCGCCGGAGTCAACTGAAAACAGCACGCACGGAATTGGTGAACAATCGAAACGCGCGGACACCTTGCAGAGTAACTTAACGCTGGAACTAGCAGAACTATCTTTTTAACCCTTTGCACTCGAGAGGTGACTCTCAGTTACCACTTTATTTGACACAGCAAAACTATACAGTTGAATATTTAGTATTTGAAATTAGAATTTGTACTGCTATGTAAAATATTTGAATAAAATAGCTTTGTTGCTTAATTTATCTGTGAATTATCGTTCAATTAGTTTGAAACCATGTCGACTGTATCTCGTCGGAAAATGTTGAATATTTCTAGTGAAAAACTTTCGAGTGCAAAGGGTTAACACGTTCCGTGCCACGGAAATTTCGGTCATATTTTGCTTATGGACTGTATTGATTTTTTTAATAAAATATTAAGTTACATTCAAGTTTTTTTTAAATTTTATATATTTTGATATCGTTTCTTTATGTTTTCGGTGCTTTGTAACGTATACTATTCTTGACCATGCGTCCCTTAAAAATATTTTGTTGGCGCTGGACGTGTTAACATGTTGAACGCCGATTTCATAGAACAAAATGCACAAAATGGAAAAGATATATCGAATCGTTTGATTGAATTGAATTATTATTACTGCGTGTTCATCTAGCTGAATATCGCTGCATTAGATAGCATTATTTATAATATTTATATACATTCAACGTGTTAATAACACTAACTACCAGATGGATCAATATGATTCCTGGTATCCTCTTCTACAACTGCTGAAAAATGATTGAAGAAGCTGATTCAGTAATACCTCGACTAAAATATGAACCAACTGAAATCTTAATGCTGTAGCTTCTATAAAAATGTTTTCAAAAATCAGTTTAAGTGCTAGTTCTATCGTTAAGACTTAAACAGCATCGATTTCTTAGTATACTGAACGCTTAGTACTTAGAATTTATGAAAATGCTGAAACAATGAAACACTTACCAACGCCGCTTGCTGAGGAATGGCCGCGATACCACCGACATTCGCTGGATTATAATAATTAGTCGGGCTGACCGGCGGAGAGGGGTAGGGCCAATAAAAAATCGGCGGCGGATAGGGGGCTGCAAACTGAGGCGGTCCACGCGGTAGCATCGCAGCTGTAGGTGGGAATATCGCGACCGGTGGCGGTGGCAACATTGTGCCCCCTAGAGTGTGGAACAAGAAGGTAGACAATCAACGTTCGATCGAGTCGATCCGATTAGTAATTCTAGGATGAGACTGCTAAGAGCAACGACCGAAAGGTTCCTCTCGTTTCTTTTCTGTCTCCTTTCTTTAGGAACATTCGGATCACGAGAAAGATTGCAACCACGGAAGTGAATGAATGGAAAAAAAAACAACCCTTCCGATCTTAGCCTCGAATATTATAATCTCTGAATAGCAACACGAGCCTGGAATATTAACGTATCACCGCTCGAGGCACATAAACGAAAATCTTCTTTTTATCCCGTGGATTAATAGACTCCCGATAACAAAACAAAAAAAAATATAGATCTGATAACACCCATAGATTCTATGTATGTACAAAACGTAAGAAGAGTGCCCAAACTATGGTAACCACACCACGATCTGTGGTCGATGACATCGTGCAGAGAATTAAACTAAATGATTTTCTTAATGTACTTCTCTGTTTCGAATCGCTTTTCATTGTTTCTCATTTTTCTTCTCTCGTTTCCGTTAAAGATTTCGGACACGTCGTGATCATTCCTTCACGCGTTCCCGCAACCTGCACGATTTCACGATTAACATGACGGCGTTCTACGGTCCGTGTGAAACTGTGGACGATACTATTAAGATTTCTATTAATAGTATTAATATTAATATATGAACCCTTTGCGAACGAATGCTTTAACCCTTAGCAGTCCTATGTCGGACTCGACATTCTATTTTATTGCAACCTCTACTTGTTTTAACAATTTTTTCGATATTTATTTGTAGTATCACAATTGTACCATTTAAAGGTAACATTTCAATGATTCCCAGATATTCTTGAATAAATAAATAGAGCATCATATTAAACTGTAATTGAATGAACTAACATCGACGTGAACCTCAAAGTGAAAAACCAAGAGCACTTCGGACTGCAAAGGGACAATGGAGACTTCAAGCTTCGATATATAAATTTGAAAGCTGCTAATGAATAATTTAACTATGTAAATAACCAGAGATTCATATGTAGTTTCCAGTATTCCAGTGTTTAAGACTTCGATGCGTAACTCAGCTGTTTTTATGAAAATAGTTTTCAAAAGTTTACAAAATTGTCGACCGTTAAGGGTTGAATTATATGTATTGTTCCTTTTCGTTGACTTTATTTTAGTAAATCCTGACTGTTCACTGGGAGCGTAGAACGACGCGTCATCCAAAGGAATAATGATTTGGACTTGGCCTACCTGGAAGCACAGAAGTTAGTATTTGTAGATCCCGCTACCAAACAGCAATCGACACTGCACCATTGTAACACGATATATACGTATGTTTTATATATAAATATTTATATATATATATTTATATGTAGCACCAACTTGCGATTTCGCCCCCTCTGCCAAATCACCAAAAACTCACTCAGACTTTCCCTTTCTCTCGCTCTTTCTCTCCCTTTCGCTCGCTCTCTTTTCTCTGCCCTTTCTCACCCTCTCACCCTCTCTCTCTCTCTCTCTTTCTTTCTCTCCTTGTCTCTCGTTCTCTCTCAGCATTGTCAAGAAGAGAAATGTCTCTCCGCGCGCGACCCCCATAAAATAACTGTGCAATACACGATCTAGAATATTCTACGAAAATTTCAAGTAACATTTGAACCTAGAACTACCAGTCGAAATGATTAGTTATAACTCCCTCGTTTCTCAATGATTGATTACATCTTCAAATTACATAATATACATTATAAATCATATCTTGAAAATATTAAATACTCGAAATGAACGTAATAAACCGAAAAATATGGATTACAATTTTTAACAAGGATTACATGTTAATCGTAATGCTCGATGGCTCTAGTGTTAATCTAAACGAAACCCAGAGAAAACAGAGTTTAATAGTAATTGGATCACAGTTTCGTACGAATTCGTATTATCTGAATATGGAGTCGCATCGCGTCAAGACGAAAAGTTCAAGGACAATAAAGTTACCAGTGGAGGGAGGGTCGCAAGGGTTCAAGCGAGGGAAGTCGAGAAGAACGGGTCACGTTCAGTTACATTGTAATGGCAAAAACAAAAAGGAAAAAAAAATACAGAAGAAACAGGAGCCGTTTCAAAGCCGTTCAACGAGATATCACAAAGAGATACACAAAATGTTGCAGGCACCTTGCAAAATTAAATGACGACGTACCAATGGCCAAGAACAATGTTAGATCTAATCACAGGCTAGCCTGACGCCGTGTTAATGTCGACATAAAAATTGTTAGGTTTCCGGCGAGCCGTGACCGTTCCTCGAGCGGGGTCGAGAAATTTGGGGGAAGATGATGGATCGACCCAGCGATTGGGGATGGTTGAACACAAAAAGAGGCAATAATGTGGGGGAGAGAC